AGTCGCTTAACTTGAGTATCTACTCTGGGCCCAGTGCTGTCTGGGCCCAAAGTCACAAATAGCGACATTATATATAAGTCTCCTTTTTCCTATCAGTCAAACGATGACCCTAAGAGCTAGTGGTATGCTGGTCAATATGTGCCAACCAGCGCTCTGGGAGGAAAAAATTGAAATAGAGATATAGATGTGTACGTAAATTGAATATATATATATATAATACATAAGTTGATTATAAATTTTACTAATATAAATTATGTGTAGTATGTAATTTACAATTCTTTGTTGTAAATTCCACATAGGCAATCAATTCCCACAGAATGCTTTCACTGATTTTTGCCAAACTCGTGCATCTGTTGCCAACTTATGATAGCTATTGATGAACAATGCATGTAGCTTAGACATGAGTATGAGTTGATACTTTCATTTTAGCTAATGAGTAAGATGAAAGTGAAACGACGAAGGTATGTGTTGGCATCTCACTTACTTGTCAATGACATGAGCAACTTCTTTGCTGACTCAGATCATTGTTTTTGAATACTAAAATAATACTGCTCCATGTTTTGTGTGTGTTATTCACAATGCAATGGCTCCACTTTTAATTTAATTTCCATTATTAGCATTTTACCCATCATTCCCTGATGTCTAGACAATCAACAAATCAATAAATCAAGCCCTGATTTGTAATGTTTGCAGATTTTCATGATGTAAATACCTCCAACCATGACCAATTTAGAGCTACCAAGATAAATTCACTGAACACGGAGTTGCGAAAATACGTGCACACCATTGTATAATATTTTCACCACACAGATGTAAGTAACCTCAACAACATAGATAATAGTAAAATGGGGTAAAATAATTAAGAAATGGTGATTTTGAGTACTTATGACTCTTGTTTTTGTTATAATTTATTTAATTGTTATGTAATTTAATTTTTATAACGGCTATGTTTAACAACCAGCCAGAAAATTTTCTGAAAACTTAACAGTCAGCTCATAAGCTGGCTTGAGCACACTCCTGTTAGGAGTCTAATGTATTTTCACCAGAAATTGGGTAAAAAAAAATGTCCTATTTGTTAATATTGTTCAGTGAAGTCTAAGGAAAGAGAGAGCCAGAGAAAGCAGGTAGGCGGAAACCGAGTTAATGGCGAGGTTCAGTTTCAAGTGAACAGACATCGTTGGTGCCAACAGAAACTATCAGTGTGGGCACCAAACCCTTTGAAAGTCCTGCCTGAACAGAAGTCCATTCTCGGCCCCAATTTTGCTTTCGCCCAGACGCGCATAATAGCTCTGCCTCCGGCTATAGCTGGGTATTCAGTTTTCCCATTCACCCACATGGAGTGCTGGCTGAAAGGCACTGAGTGTCAGCTGGGAGAAGTGTGTGCTTTCTCCACATCCATTTTCACCCCATCCCCATCTCCTGGCTCATCCATTCCCCATTTGCAGTGCTGAGAGCAGGGGGCCAGGCTGCATCCTTTATCCGTGGGCATCCTGTTGTCTACAACTGCGCCTCTCTCTACTCAGATAAAGTTAATGGTATGTTCTGTTCCCAAAACTCCAGGGAAATGTGAGTGATGTCATGGGCTCCAGAGAAGAAGGCCTAGTCTAGGCTCCTCGCCTGGTTTCCCCCTGAGATTCCTTGTAGACATCCTTCCAGGACCCCAACCTTTTGATTCCGTGTCTCACACTTTAGGGATGAACTGGAAAGCAATGAAAGAAACATTTCATGTTTTCATTTGAAATATTGATCAAAGAAAAAAGATCAAAAAAAGCCAGCTGAATCTCCCTCCTATTCACTTCTCATTGTTAATCAGCCCGCTCATGTGCTACCACAGCGTAGACATGGAAGGGACTTTGGGAAATGCTTAGTCCAACATTCCTGGTGGGTGAGAAAACCCAGCCCCATTGACAAAAGTCAGTTGCCCAAGGTCATGCAGCAAGGAGTGGAGGAGCCAGAATTCGTGCCCCCAACCTGTGGAGGCACAGCCCAGCCACTTCTCAAGTACAGCCCATGCCTTCTCGCAGAGTTGGTGGCAAGTTAAATCCTTCAGATTCAACAGCTTAAACGTATTGGAATTTTCCTTCTCCTTCTGACCCTTTCTTCTATGTCAGAGGCTCTCGGTATGCCCTGTTACAACCTTCCATCATCTCTGCCCCCCACTTTCAGCTTTCTAGACTCCAGCTCCTTCGGTGACATGAGCCGTGCCCTAGTCATCTCTGATGCAGTAGAAAGAGCCAGGCTTAGAATTCACACACCTGGATTTTAACTCCAGCTCAGCCTTGCTGTGTGGCTTGAGCATGTTGTTTACCCTCTGTCTCTGAGCTCCAGTTTCTGTAACTAAGAGTGGGAATGACCATTCTGAGTGACAGGGACCTTCTGAACATTAAATGCCATGATGTCTATAGACTTCCTAATACTCTATCTGGCTCGTGGGAGGACAAAACAATGCAACTTCTCATGATGCTCATATCCTTACATTTCCAGTGGATGCTGCAGAGCCTGGCATCTAAAGCACAGTAAAAGGAAATGAAGGAATGAAGTGGTTAGGGAACGAAAACTTGTCACCAAAGCTCTATCATATTTTCCCTCCAAACGTCCCTTGTATTTTTTCTTTCTTCACCATCCTTACTGTGACCATCAGCTTTTAGTCCCATACAATTTCTCACCTGAACCACAACAGCCAACATCCAGTGCCCCTGCCTTCAGCCTATCCCTGTTCTAGTCTCTCCTATAACCCACATCTGAATTAGTCTTCCTACAGCATAGCTCAAGGTCAGGGTCTGTGTCTTACACAGCATCTCTGTGATTTCTAAACATGTTCGGGAAATATCTGGTTGCTTAAATACACAAAGTGAAAATATAGCTTTGTAGATGAAATAAAAAAATACTTTTTTATTCTCTTCTTCTCTCCTTTTTCTTCATCCCTCCAAGTTCTTTCTAGTACCAGTTATACACCAGCTTTGGCATTAGTCAAAGTTTAGCAGGTTTAGGCTAACAATAGTTGTATTTCTGATGCTGTGTGAAGCCCTGTACAAGCATTATCTCATTTAATTATTGTAGCAGGTCTGCAAGGTTGGAGAGGAGGACAGGTTGCCGTGTGTGTTCTAGGCCTATAAACACTCTTCACGAAGATTCAGCCAAGTGCTAGGCAACCGCCACAAATGCAAGCTTGCGTTCAGTTGGGGCCCTGAAAACACCCACTAGAATATGCAGGGGTGGGGCATCAATGGACAAGAAGTTCCTTTTATGGACACCCTCTTTGTAGCTGAGTGGCCTTGAGCAAGAATGCTCATGCTGGGTCATTAGCAACTCACAGTTGACAAAATTTACGACCACTCCTTCCCTTCATTTGTCATTTCATTGAACTCAACTTTCTCGAGACGAGAGGGATGGCCACTCCGGTCACTATTTGACTACAGCCCATGGGAGGCCTCCACGACTTTGGCTTTTGCAAATGTAATAGAAACGAAACAGGAATTAGTATGTCCATTTTACAGAGGAAAGAAAGTGAGCCTCAGGTAGGTGAAACCCCACAGCTGGGATGCAATCACAGGTCTCCTGATGTCTACTCAAGTTTGCATAGTTCCTTAAAATGATCGAGCACAGGTCCTATGGAGAATCCCCTGATAATTTTGGAAATCATTTAGAAAAATATGACACAAAAATATGACAGAACACAGCGTCCTGAAACCTTCTATTGGTTCACCATTCATTCAGCAAATATTTATTGAGCACTTTAATGTGGTAGGCACTGTTCTAAGCTCTGGGAATATGGTGGTAAAAAGCAAAATCTCAGTACTTAAAGGACTAACATTCTGGAGGCTTGGGGGGGTGGGGGTGGGGTGGAGAAAGACAGTAAAGAGATAAATAAATATATAAAATATTAGCTGGCCCTCAGTGCCAGGAAGAAAAATGAATCAGCAAGAGGGAGAGAGAGACTTCCATGGAGGTGCATTTTGCATGGGGAGGTCAGAGAGTACTCTCTGATGAGGTGACATTTGAGCAAACCTGGGAAGAAGAGAAGAAACAAATTATATGGGTATCTTGGAGAAAAGAATTTCAAGCAGAAAAATAATCCAAATGCAAAGGCCCTGAGGTAGCAGGGTGCCTGGCTGTGTGGAGGCCAGAGTGGGTGGAGTCTAAGCAGGAGGAGAGTAGGAGATGGGGACCAGATCATAGGGCCGTAAGGCCTTTAGAGAGAAGGTGATTTTACTCTGAGTAAATCGAAGGCCCCTGGAGGAGGAGGGACAGGACATGGCTTACATTTCAAATGGACCCCCCTGGCTCTTATGTGCAGTCAGCACAAGGGTGAAAGCAGGGAGACCAATTTGGGGACTGTCGAAATAATCCAACTGAGAGATGATGATGGCTACTAGGGTGGTAGTGACGAATGGTGTGAGAAGTGATTGGTTTGGGTATATGATTTAAAAATATAGTTGACCAGATTTGGTTATGGGGTGTGAAAGAAAGAAAAGAGAAAGAAGGTAGGACTGTGCAGCTGAAAGTCTTGCCTGAGAAGAACAGAGCATTTGGAGACACCGGATCTGTCTGGAAGCTGATAGTGGAAGAGAGAGTCAGTGAGAGTGTGGTTTCAATAGGAAAGGCTGAGAGGGTGGAGCACTTCACGTAGGCAAAGCTGCCTCTGCTTGGCCTCCAGTTTGACTCAGCAAGCCCTTCCCATCTCCCTGTTGTATTGCAGCGCAACACTGCACGTGGGCAGGAAAGACTGAGGCAGGGATGACACAAGCAGAAGGGACACTCGCCATGTCACTGAGGTACAGTGAGTTGACAAAACTTTAGCCCATAAAAGGGAAGTCAAGAGGGCCGGCCCCGTGGCCAAATGGTTAAGTTTGCGCACTTCACCGTGGCAGCCCAGGGTTTTGCTGGTTTGGATCCTAGGTGCGGACATGGCACCACCCATCAGGCCATGCTAAGGCGGTGTCCCACATGCTGCAACTAGAAGGACCCACAACTAAAAATATATAACTATGTACCGGGGGGCTTTGGGGAGGAAAAGGAAAAATAAAATCTTTAAGAAAAAAAAAAGGGAAGTCAACACTTGAACCCAAGTCTCAACAATCAGCAGACCACGGATCTTGGTGAAAGGAACATGGACAGATGCTGTTTCTGGGGTGGTCTTGCCAACTTCAAATGCAGGCCATTTGGGTGACTATCTCCCAAAGACCCCAATGGGGGGCCTGCAGTAAGATCTGAGAGGAGATCTTCCTTTCACTCTGCATGTTAGAGGGATGTTGCTGACCCACAGGATGTTTTGGAAAAGGGTGAAAGATTGTGAGCTGCTGGGATTTCTTGTATTCAAGTTGTGTTAACTGATGCTCAGACTTTCTTTTAAAGGTCCATGTTGTTTTGCAATGTTGTTGAAGATGGCTACCAGGAATTTTGTGGACCAGATTATAAAACCAGGGAAGGAGCACTAGAGCTGTTTAATATGCACTCACTGAGCATCTGCTCTTCTGAGCAGATCCTTAGGTCCCAGAATCATCCAGCCCAGTGGGAAGGGAAACTCTTCACCTGGGAGTATAGAGCATTGCATGGCAGGGGGAGTGTCGACGTCAGCCTAAAGGAAGTGCAGGCGAAGTGTGGGCATGCTATGGAAGCATGGTCAGTTAGAAGCTTGGTGTCCTGAGGACTGAGAAAAGTGAAGAAGGCAGAAGAGGATTTTGACTCTCTGTGCCGGTTGCCGGTGCAGAAGCTCCCTGGAGTTCTGCATAGATGGCTTTGGTCCTCACAGGTCGCTATCTTCACTGCTTTTGTTTTATTTGTTGTGTTAGATCTTTCTGAGGTGAGGCATTCGAGGAAGATCCTTGGGAGGAAGACCGAGTTAGTTAATCTGTGCAATGCACTCAGTATAACCTACTGCCCACTTCCCAGGATGTGGTTGGGTGGGGGTTGAACAGAGAGAAGTGAGGGGATTCCAGACATTGGGCACTTGCACTCTCACATGGAACACACCAATACCATCAGGTTATTTGTGACTTGACTGTTTAGTAGCCACTAGACTACATAATTGCCCAACTCACCCATAAGCTTATTTGTTCCTTTGTCTTGCCTACCATATCTAGAGCCAAGTACTTCTGCCCGACTGTCAACAGTCCCCATAATCTGACTTACCATGAGATACATTATCCTACCCGTTCCTCGACTGAACTCGGCTGGTCTCACTTCTTCTTGCCAGTCCCATTCCAGGGCCTTTGCTTGAGTTGTCTCCATTGGCTAGAGAACCTTCTATTTCTCTTTACTAATCTCGATCCTCCCCAGTCTGCAAGAGATGGCCCAAGTTCCAGCTCCTGCAGGAAGCCTCCCTTCCCCCCCCCCCCCACCAGACTAGCCTGACCCCTGACCTCTCCTCAGTGTGCTAAGGGCCTATAATTCTCATGATCTGGGCCCGTCAGTTGGGTGCTAACTTGCATGCTGAGCATTGTGGCTGTGTCACTTTTGTCTCTTTGCTTCCTTGAGAGTCCAGTCTTTGGTTCTTCATTGTACACGTACAATGCTGGGCAAATGATGACGTTTAATCAAATCTTGTCAGTTTATGATTTGAAACAATGCCTCACTCCTCTGGCTTCTTGGCCTTTTCCAGATAACTGAAGTTGAACCTGTCAAACACCAAACAAGCACAGTAAGCTCTTTTTAATAGACATCTTTCTGAAATGTATTTGACATTTTCAGAAATTCTGAACTCTCATCTGCCATACAGACTATGTAATTTCAAAGTCACTCAGAGGTGTCATTCTAAAGATCCATTAGCAACCTGAGAATTATCACAGTTCTGTATCTGGTTTTAGGTCTTTCTGTCTCCTTCCTCAGTGTCATGAATGTCACCTGAGATTTTGCTTAGGGCTCTTATACCTGTCTCTTCTGAATGCTTTCTCCAGCCATTCCTTCCAGGGTACTATGTTCCTTTTACTGAGGTCCAGGAAACCAGATCACTAGAGGTCTCCAGAAAACACTCCCTGTGTACCTACTCGATGCCGGGCTCTGTCCTAGGGAACAGCGTCAATAAAGCATGACAATGACCTCAACAAGCATAACCATAGTACAGAATGGCAAAGGCTATAAGGAAGGCATGCACATGTTAGGGCGACAGCAGAGGAGGTAGAGCAACAAACTCTGGGCAGTAGGAGAGCATAGTAGCTGCTCAGGGCAGTGAACATTTGAGAAAAGCTTGAAAAACATAGCGGGATTCACCAGCAAAAATAGACAAGAAAGATAATTTCCAGCAGAGGAAATAGCATACTTGAGTAATTGATGGCAAACAGGACTCTAGACTCTATCAGGCTTTGAAAGAGGGTCTGAGGAGCAATGCGCATAATCTTTAATGCTGGCACTTTCTGACAGCTCATGTGGGTGCCCAGGGGACTCTTTGGATGAGTTCCGGATCAAAAGGTCCTGAATGAGTCAGATTGCTGGAAAATGGACCTGTGGATAAATGGGGTCTAATTGTGGCTTTGCACGTTGGCTACTTGAAAGGACCTTGGCCATCACTGAGGTAAAGAACAAATTTCCTTAAGACGTTGCAAATACAATGTTATTTCTAAAATCGATTAACACTAGCCAGTCCCAAGAAGAGAACAGCCTAGGAGAATATTTTATGATATTCTAGGATGTCAGAGTTGGAAGTTCTCTTAGAACTGACGTTTTACCCTCTTTATTGATTATTTGGTGATTAACGAAAGAGGAAGATCACCTAAGAAACTTGCCTAAACTAATATAGCTGGTAGTAGAGCAAGGACTAGCCTTCTAGGTCTCCTGACGCCTAGCCCCCTGTCCTTATTCTACTAAAATGTGCCTTTTAAATCAGTTGCCGTATTTATTACTTAATTTAACAAACATTTGTTGCATGTACGGAGTCATAGGTTAGGCTCTGGATATGAAGAGACTCACTCCCTGTCTGCAAGTTGCTGACAATGTAGAATGAATTAAACAAGCTGGGCCACAGCTCCTATGAGGACAAGGTATCTCCCGGTATTCTAAGCATCAATAACTATCTGTGTTGATGATTCATCTTTCCCTGTCATCATTAGAGCTGCTTCCCCTTCTGAGTCTGGCTTCTTCAAATGCTTCTGGCATTGTCAAATGTCGTTCTCTCCATTCCTCAGGTCATCTCTCCCAGCTAACTTTCCCTTATTGTTCTCTAGGAGTCAGTTCTCAAGCCAGATTAGGCTCCTCTCCTCCGTGTTTCCATATCCCTTAATACACTGTTAATTTTCTATCTCTGAATTTACAAAGTGATTTGTAGTTATCTTGTCTTACATTCGACTCCACTGAACTCCAGCTGAAAGGTGAAGAATTGGTCTCTTTAAGCTCAATTTCCCAGTGGCTTGAATAGTCGCTAAACCAGGAGAGGTGCTCAGTGAATATTTAAGTTGAACCAGCAATTGGAAATGGAGACCAGAGGCAAGGAAACCGTATTGTCTTTGGTAGGATGAGTTCTGAATTGAGTTCTCAGTAGTAGAGTGGTATTCTGTGCCACCTGAACTTCGATTAATTGACCTCATAAATGTCACTGAACACTTTCAAAACTATTTAATTAGACCTTCAAAAATATTTATTTGCATCCACTAGAAACTCACAAAGCCCCTGTCTTCATGGAACTTACATTTATTGGAGAGAGATTAAATACATATACATATAAGCTACTTATTTTGATATCTGATTTGTCAGGATACTGATAAATGTTGTGAAGAAAATAAATCAGGAAAAAGAGATAGAGAGTGACAGGGAGGCCTGTTTTAGATAAAATGATCAAGGAAGCCCTCCCTGACGAGCTGACATAGAGACAGACACCTAAATGAAGAGAGGGAGTGGTCCATGCAGCTGTGAGAGAGAATGCTCAGTGACTGATGGAAAGCACAAAGGCCCTGAGAAGGGAGCCTGCGTGGTGTGTTTCAAGCACACTAAGATGCCATGTGGCTGGAGCAGAATGATCAAGGGGGAGACCTGCAGAAGAGGGAGATAGAGGGGCGGCTGGGGCCAGGTCATAAAGAACCATGGGCCATAACAGAAGAGTAAAGGATAGAGGAAAAAAATCTCTGGAACTGGATTTAAGCTTCAGATTCTAGTATTTTCTCTGCCACTGACTTCCTGAATGACTCTGGCTTCTAATTTCCCCTCCCGGACCTCAGTCCTCCTATGTGTATGATGAGGGAATTGGAAGTGATGACTAAGGACCTCTCAGCTCTGTGGTCTGTGGACCTTGCTTATGCGTTTCAGAATTTCCCCCCGGGGATGGAGAGTGGAGTGCTCAATGCACACATAGCCTGCAGAATGCATTTGCACCAGGAGCTGCAGCATGGGCTACCTCTGCTCCTGGACTTCCTGTCATGTCTTCACAGGCAGTCAGCGGTGGCTGAAGTTTCAGGCGTTTCAGGACAACCAAATTCCGTCTCCATAGACCATCTTTAATGGTTTGAGGGGGACTTGCAATGAATCTCATCTCCAAATGGAAGCTATAGAGATGATATGGGCCACCAGCAAACACAACTCATCTTGGTGGGGAGTTATGGTACACCTCCTTTATAATGGCTGAAATCACATCTTTTGCAAGTTGTGCATCAGCCGTGAAGACTTTCTTCTTCTAATGATTGGCTGTCACTCTGTCTTTGTAAAGTAGGTAATGGAATTATATTTAAAGCTTTCACTTAACAGCCTTGCTCTTTGTAAAGATCCGCTTGAGGAATGCAAGCTTCTTTAGATAGGGAAGTGACAACTGTCTCTGACATTAAATAGATCTCTTTCTTACCTGTCCTGTTAAACATACGAAATATCAAACTCCTCTTCCATATGACAGTGGTTCAGATTTGCGCTATATGTCACAGGGAGCACAGCTGGTGAACACACTGGGAGGTACATAAAGCCAGATCAGGGTTACATTTAAAGGCCTTTTAACAGCACCATCTAAAGATGAAAATGCTGCCTCTGGAGGCTACAAGTTTCTTGTTACTGGAGATGATCAAGAAAAGGCCATTAGGCAGGATATTACAGACAGAAAATATGTGTCAGTCGGAGAACTGAACAAGCTGTCTTCAAAAAGCCCTTCCCACTCTAAGATCTTCTCCTCCATTACCATAATCTTGCCTTAATCTGAATTTTCTATTATACAAGGACAGATCAGAAGATTGTCAATGCCATTTTAATCGCTGTGGGCCTTTACCAATAAGATAAGGCCCAGCAAGATCTGACTACAAATCTGTGCAGGCAAAGAAATGGATTTGAAGTTATGTGCAGTGGTGTAGAGGGACCTATCACCCATGGGGAGAGAGGAGAGAGAGAGAGAGAGAGAGTGTGTGTGTGTCTGTGTGTGTTTATAACTGAGTCCATCTGTTATCACTTACCTGTACTGTGTTCTTTGTCTTCCAGATTTTATTTTTCATTTTTTAAAATCACCGGTTCAAATTGGTTTCAGTAGTTTATTCTCAGAAACGGTTTTGGTATTATATTTTAGATCTTATCCAAGCGTAATATTAATTTAGGGTTAAATAATATAACACTTATTTAAAATTTTTCTTTCCTCATGATAAACCAATTAGAGGCCCATGAGAAAATGCCAAAGACTTTATATAATCCCTTCGAAAGTTTACATTATTTTTTAAATGGTTGGAGTTTTCTGGTTCATGATGAAAACCTAAGCATATATATTTACCAACTCTTTCTTCCCAATTTCTGTTGAAGTAACCAAAAAAAACCAGACAGCAGCACATAAAATCATAGAAATGTAGAGAACAGAAAAAGGGATACCAGCACACCAGGAAATTTAGCAAATTTCTGAAAGATGACAAGTAGTTTAAATCAAAGGAATGGCTGGCTAACCCAGAGTGGAGAAAGTGGATGACCAGAACAGAAGAGAACGTTGCAACCAAGGTGGGAGCTGTTTTAATTAATGAAGTCCTACACAGATTCCAAATTTGATGTCTTAGGGTATGGAAAGCCAAGAATTAAGGAGTAACATTGGGGCCAGCCCAGTGGCGCAGAGTTTAAGTGCACACATTCCGTTTAGGCGGCCGGGAGTTCGCTGGTTAGGATCCTGGGTGCAGACATGGCACCGCTTGACCAGCCATGCTGTGGTAGGCATCCCACATATAAAGTAGAGGAAGATGCGCACAGATGTTAGCTCAGGGCCAGTCTTCCTCAGCAAAAAGAGGAGGATTGGCAGCAGTTAGCTCAGGGCTAATCTTCCTCAAAAAAAAAAAAAAGAGTAACATCTATCTATTTAATAAAAAGATTCCTCATGAAATATCTGAGCTACTCAATCTTTTCTTCCTATACAGAGCAGCCTGCTTTTACTTGCCTCTAGGCAGAGAACACTCCATTCTATAGAAATTGAACAATTGCTGAGGAAGTCTTAGGTGTCAAGTGTTAGAGCTGGCCTCAGAGTGAAGCCCTTCTTATATGGTGGGCTGGTGGCAGTGGAAAGATGCAGCCAAGCCAGTCTGCTCACAAAGTCCAATCTAAACCTTGCCAGTCAACACAAACACATACACTCACACATCGTTCACCACCAGTCCTCCCATTCAGGAGAAAGGCTTGCTGGGCAAACAAGCCAACACCAAATTGGAAGCAGCTAAGGACAGTTATCTGTACTAGTCAAGTAATTCTT